ATTAGAGTTATATGTATCAAGATTGGTCCTCTATTGCAAAGTTTCTAGAGGATATGGTGCAGTTAGAAAGGAGCAGGAAAAACTGTTATAAGGACAACTGAATTGAAGGTTCCTAAACAAAAGAAAGTGAACTTGAGTAGAGTTGACTAAAGGCCAAAGCCACAGACTGTGGAATGGTGATCAAGGAGGACGTAAAATGCTGGTTTGGTAGCCTTAGGCGGGGTGTGCCACTGATGCACATTATTTCCTGGAGAAGACCTTGAGGATAGTGGCGTCTTACCCACTTGACCACGAGGGAAGTCCCTGCCTTTTTGTTTTTAATCAAGGATCATTACTTGTGCCGTGTCTGTGGACACTGGGACCAGTGTGGTTTTAGAGTATTTTCTAGCCAGCAGAATGAAAAGGAAACATGTGGTTACCCTGGTATGTGTGTGTTCTTCACATTCACTTTTGCTTTAAAGTCAGATTTATTAAAATCATCTCATGCATCTAAGTCACTTTCAGTAAAGACACAAAGAAATGTGCTTCATCCTGATCCTCCAGCTCCTCATCAGGTGATTTTCATGAACAAATAATTGTTTAGTAAGATAAGTATTTCTCTTCTTGTAACATAAGACAGCAGAACCCCTTCCCCCCACCCCCCACCTCCACCTCCGAAGGAAACTCTCCAGGCATTAGCTTTTGCTCACTGGGGCTATTTCCTCATTAAGTTTTGACCTTGGAAGTTCTATTCTGCATCTCAGTTGTCCGTTCAGCAGGATAAGTGTCTATTGCTTAAGCCAAAAGAATTCATGCAAAAAAATCTTCTCAAGTAATTATGGAGGGCAAGCTGTAAAAAGCTGACCACATTTTAGACCCAGGCTGTGTAATTGATATTTGTGTTTCCTTCTGACTTCTGTCCCGTGAACTCACCTTGCTCAATTGTAGTAGGAACAGTGGTGCAGTAGACTTCTGGGTTTTAGGCTTAGAGCGTCTTTTGTAGATGTGTAACCTTTTGGGGCTTCCCAGGGGGCGTTTGTGGTAAAGAATCCACCTGCCAATATAAGAGACAGCGGCTTTGATCCACTGGAGGAGACTGGCAAACCACTTAAGTACTCTTGCCTGGAAAATTCCATGGAGAGAGGAGCCTGGCAGTTGCAAAGAGTCGGACTTGACGGAGCACAGGACCTTGGCCAGCCTATTTAAGCTTTCTGAGCTTGATCCCTTATTTGTAAAATGAGCTATTATCGGTACATTAAGAGTGGTTTGAATTTCAAATGAGGCAGGTGATCCACGGGGAAGATTTTAGTAAACTGTGCATCAGTTATGTGCATGTCGTTTGCTGTCACTTCCCCATCACCACTTCCATCACATTTTTGAAGTTCAGAGGGAACAATACACGCTCAGTGCTCATGTCACAGCACGGAGCTTAAGTGAGGTGGGTGTAGGTGGTGTTCGCAGGGGAAGTTGAGTTTTCAGTTAGTATCTGGTGATGAGTAAGAAAAGACTCGATTTTGAGGATTCTAGGGGATGAAGAAATTTAGTACTTCAAGACAGAAAAGATGGGGCAGAAGAAGGCAGTGAGTAAAGACAAGGATGACAGCTGGGGGTGGGGGGGAAGCAAACTTTTTTTTTTGGACTGTAGTGAAATGGGAAGGGGTGGATCCAAGCTGAAATATAAGTAAATTTAGTGTACCCAGAAAGTGAGAAAGAGCCTCTCATAGGAACCATTCTTTATCAGATAAACATTACCTCTTATCAATGAAAAGGCAGGGTTAGTTAGTTTGGGTATGTTCACAGCCAGCAGTGTGGCTGTACCTGTGGGATATTAGGAAAAATCAACTGTTTTTGAAACAGACACCGAAGCTCAGGTATTTACTTATTTATTAGCCACTTGGATATATATATGAGACAAGACTTCTGTCTCTTCCAAAGAAGAGGAAAATATAGCTTAATTCCTCAGGAGGTATGGGCCACATGTATATTTATTCTGTCATATGGCAATAATTCTACTTTCAACTTCTGGTCTCTGTGCTAGTCTAGCTATGCATGCATGCTAAGTTGCTTCAGTCATGTCCGACTCTCTGTGACCCTATGGACTGCAGCCTGCCAGGCTCCTCTGTCCATGGAATTCTTAAGCTTTTTGCAATGATTGCTTCCTACTTACTGTGCTAAACATTCCATATGAATTATCTAAGTCACACAACCACCCTGTGTGGACTTGTTTGAGGTCCCATGGCTGGCCTACAGTAGAGCCAGGATTGGGACTCAGCAGCTTTGATTCCAATCCTGGGTTCTTATCCACTCTTGTGTTTTATGCCTAAGGACATCAAGTGCAGCCTTAAAGCAGGGCTGATTAGAGAATATTCGAAAGAGAGTACTTGGTAAATCTGGGAATGAGTTAGAATACACAGCAAGTTTTGCAGCTGTCCTGTTTGACTTTGGCCATCTGATGCAAAGAACCGACTCATTGGAAAAGACCCTGATGGCTGGGAAAGATTGAAGGCAGGAGGAGAAGGGGACAATAGAGAATGAGATGGTTGGATGGCATCACCGATGCGATGGACATGAGTTTGAGTAAGCTCCATGAGTTGGTGATGGACAGGGAAGCTGGAGTGCTGTGGTCCATGGGGTTGCAGTCGGACACGACTGAGCGACTGAACTAAACTGAACTGAACTCTTTGGCTTGTGGCCTGTGGTAAAATGATCCAGGGGGATGTGTTACACTCTCCTGTCCATAGCAGGTGATGCTGTGGAGGGATGGATGGTCACAGCAGTTCACTCTGTGCTGGTTGAGTCACAAGCCCCTCAGGTGTTTAGTGCTGTGTGTTAGCTTTTGAGAGCAACATTGGAGGGACTTCCCTGGTAGTCCAGTGGTTAAGACTTTCCCTTCCAGTGCAGGGGATGGAGATTTGATCCTTGGTTGGGGAGCAAAGATCCCACATGCCTTGTGGTCAAAAAAGCAAAACATAAAACAGAAGCAACATTGTACTAAATGCAACAGAGACTCATAAAAGAGAGATGTCGCAAAACAGAGCTGAAGGAAGGTGAGAGGCCAGGTGAGAGCCCTGGAACCTAGTTCCTGGGAAGAGGATTATTGAAGGAAGAGGAGGTGTTTAATTTAGAGAAGAAAAGCCTTAGATAGGATCCCATAGTCGTGTTCAGATATTTGATAAATGTAATTATGCTGTGTCCTCAGCAGAATTGAACTCAAGGGATGGAAACTTTAGGGAAGTAGACTTCAATTTGTCACAGAGTTTCCTATTGATGAGATTTGTGTCGATAAAAGAATTGGTCATCACTGAAGTTCATGAGTCCCCCATCCCTGGCAGTTTTTAAGTACTCAAGCAGAGGCTGTGTGGTGATGATAAGCCTACCATCAGGATCTACCCCCTCCCTTCCTGATAGCCCTCCCTGCTTGCCCCGAGTTCTTTGTTTATCCAGCTGTCAGTGGTTCTAGTTTTAGTATCAGCTAAAAAATAAGCCAGTGGTTTAAGGAGCATCTTTTCTCAATGGACATTTAAAGATAGAAAGATCCCTAAATGATAAGTAATAGCGGAATAGTTAGATTGAATTATAGTATACTCAAGCTATGAAATTAGATACACATATTAGAGGAAATGAGGTCAGGTTGAAAGATAGTCGTCTATTGAGTGAAAAGAGCAAATTGCAGAAGGGTATGTGTATTATGATCTCATGTCCTGATTAAAAAGTAAAAATGCCCTCTCTTCCATCTATTCATCTGTCTGGTTTTGGAATGAGAGTCACCAACATGTCTTAGCCATCGCAGTGACCTCTGAAGATGTTCATGTCCCTGTGTGGGTGACAAAGAAGAGGAGCAGGCGATCTGCATAGTCAGTGTCCCAAAGAAGACATACAGATGGCCAGCAGATACACGACAAGATGTTCAACATCATAATCACCAGGGAAATGCAAATCAAAACCACAATGAGATGCCACCTCACACCTGCCAGAATGGCTATTTCAAAAGGATAACAAGCACTGACAAGGATGTAGAGAAAAGGGAACCCTTACGTGCTGTTGACGGGAATATAAACAGGTACAGCCACTGTGGGAAACAGTATGGAGATTCCTCAAAAAATTGAAAAAATACAACTGTCATGTAATTCAGCAACTCCTCTCCTGGATATTTACTCAGGAAAACAAAAACACTGATTAGAAAAAAAGATATATGTACCATGATGTTCTTTGAAGCATTGTTTACAGTAGCCAACATAGAGAAGCAGTCTAAGGTGCCCATCAATAGATGAATGGATAAAGAAGATATGGTATATAAATCCAATAGAATATTTTTCAGCCATAAAAAGAATGAAATCTTGCTATTTCTGACGACATGGGTGGACCCAGAGGGTATTATGCTGAGTGAAATAAATCAGAGAAAGACAAATACTATTTGATGTCACTTATATGTGCAATCTAAAACAAGACAGAACAAGAGTTATAGATACAGAGAACAAACAGGTGGTTGCCAGTGGGGAGAGGGGAAAGTAATAGGTGAGGGAAGTTAAGAAATACAAACTTCCAGTTCTAAAATGAGTGAGTACAGGTATAAAATGTACAGAGTAGGGAATATAGTCAATAGCCGTGTCATATTGATGTATGGTGATGTAACTAGACTCATTGTGATCTTTTTGAAATGTATAGAAATATGGAATTACTATGATGTGATTGAAACTTACATAGTATTGTAGGTCAGTTATGCTTCAAAAGCAAGCCAACAGTCTCATAGAAAAAGGGATTGGAATTGTTACCAGAGGTGGGGAGTGGGTGAAGCTACTCAAAGGGTACACACTTGCAGTTGTAAGATAAATAAATACTAGGGATGAAATGTACACCATGCTAAATATAATCAACACTGCTGTATGTTATATATGGAAGTTGTTCGCTGAGTAAATCCTAAGGGTTTAGGATTCATCACAAGGAAGAAAAAAATTTTTTTTTTCTGTTTATTTCATTATGTATCTCTAAGAGGTGATGGATAGTCACCAAATGTACTGTGATAACTGCTTCCCGATGTATGTCAGTCATACCATTATGCCGTACACCTGAAACTTACACAGGGCTGTGTGTCAATAACATCTCAATAGACCTGGAAGGAGAAAAAATAAGGACTTAACATACTCCTCAGAAGCTGCCTGGGGTTCTGGGAGTCCTAAAGAGGAAGAATACCTTTCTGGAGGAGAAAAATACTCTGTGTATTGTCTATAGGTTTGAGCATTTACTCCTTTGGGGACTTGTTCTAAATTTTGCTCACTTGGGGATGTCGGGTCTCCCATGGTGATCAGACACCTTGCTATTTCTAAGGCTGAGCGTTTGTAGATGTGAATATCTGTGGTGTTGTTTCCAGTTCTTGGTCTGCCATGTCTGTTTTCACAGAGACTCTGAGGCCTCTCTGAGCACTCTGGCGTCATTTTCTCTAGGTACTCTTCCAGTTCACAGGGTTGCCTCTTACGCCTCACACTGGCAGACCTTGGAGATATTGGGGCTCCAATTCCAGACCACTGCAATAAAGCAAGTATTGCATTTTGATTTCCCAGTGCATACAGAAGTTATGTTTACACTATATTGTAGTCTGTTAAATGTGCAATCGCATTGTGTCTAAAAAACCAATATGCACACCTTAATTAAAGAATGCCTTATTGCTAAAAATTGCCGACCATTATCTGACTACACAGGGTTGTCACAAACCTTCAATTCATAAAAAACACTACCTGTGAAGCACAGAGACGTAGAGGTATGCCTGTATAGTGCTCCCATTTCACTCTTAAACTTAGGTAGAAATCCAGTGTGGCAAGTTTCTTTGTTTCTTCACCTGACTTACGGAAATTCTTTTTTTTTCCTCTTTTATTCTTTCATATTAATTAATCCAGGAGCCTAACCCTTAGTGTCATGACTCTTTTTTATTCCTTCTCTCCTTTGCTGAAGATAGAGATTGTTGACCCCTTCTGGCTTTGTAAAGAGGAAGTAGGAAGAAGAAAGTGAGGCTCTATAGAACCACAGTAAAAATTTGCCCTGGAGAATACTCCCCATAAGTTGTGGGAGAGCCCTTTAGAGGCTTGTACTAGTGTATCCATATATTTTGTTTTGGAAATTTCAGAATTACCCTAACAGTTATCTTTCCCGCTTCCTCATTTTACAGACAGGAAGGGCTAGGTTCCTCGAGATTACAGCAGTGTCCAAGGACACCCTAGGTAACTCATGGCAGAACTGGCTGTCAGACTCCAAAGTCCATGCTCTTTCCTATATGATGTTTACTGTTTTGCTCGTATCTTCAGAATTAGTAACACATGGCCATGGTGGAGAGACTAGATCCCTGGATTACATGGTTATGGCACATAGAGTTGCTGTTGTCGTGCTTAGTCACTATATGTGTCTGACTCTTTGTGACCCCACGGACTGTAGCCCACCAGGCTCCTCTGTCCATGGGATTCTCCAGGCACAAATACTGGAGTGGGTTGCCACTCCCTTCTCCCCAGGATCTTCCTGATCCAGGGATGGAAGCCAGGTCTCCTACGTTGCAGACGGATTCTTTACCACCTGAGCTACCAGGGAAGCCCAGAGTTGCTGTTGGTCGGTGTTTAAATATTCCAGGAATCTTGAGAAGCCTCTCTTATGTTCTGGGAAGGACTTTATATTCACATCTGAGCGAGCAAGTTGTGATGTTCAAAGATGTCTTAGCGGAATAAACATAGGAAGTTATTTTTATCCTGAAGATGTTTAAGTTTGAAATAAATGTTTCCTACCAACTTGGTAAATAGTTTTATAACCATATTTACAGGCTGCAGGTTTTGCTTAAAACTGAATGGCTTATGCTCTGCTTTCCATTTGTTGGAGTGTGGAACTTGTTTAATTACCTGGAAAGTAGTTAATTGGGAATTACTCAAGGCACTATAGTTTTTCTCCTGACTTTCTGGTTAGTTTATTTACTTTTGGAAATAGATGCTTGCTTTCTCTTGTGGCTTTCTTAAGTCCCCTACTCAGAGTTTAAACTCCTTTACATTGTTCAAGGTGTACTTTGATAGAATATTCTAATTTGTGCTACTTCTTCAAAGATTTCGCCAGGGGTCTACTTCAAAGTGATGATGTTTCAGGCTGACCTCATTGACCCTCCAGATTCAGATCCAGCAAACAACCAGGGAAGAACTTGCCCAGTAAACTTGCTTCCAAGAAGCAGGTGCTTATCCATTCCCCACAGGGTCACAGTATTGCTTCTCCTATTTCTCATTCTCTTATTCAGGGCTGCAGAAAGGGTGGTGACACTCAGGATACATGGATTTGTAGTTGCTTGGACCTGGAGAATGCAGGCAGCAGAAAGAGGTATGCTGGAAGCATCATTGGAGATGGAAGACTTACTAGTACAGCCACTATGGAAAACAGTGTGGCAGTTCCTCAGAAAACTAAAAATAGAATTACTGTATAACTGACCAATCCTACTTCTCAGTATATTTACAAAGGAAATGAGATCACTGTTAAAGAAATATCTGCATCCACATTCTCCTGTTCAGCCCCTCCCCCCAACCCCCTCCACCAAGAAAAAGGAAGTCTTGCCATTTGTCACGAGTGGATGAACCTTGAGGTCATTATGTGAAGTGGAATGAGTCAGTCAAGCAACTGTATGATCAGACAGCCACTGTATGATCTCACTTACGTGTGGAATCTAGAAGAGCTGGCTTCATGTTGAAATACCCCTGATCATATTGAAAAGTCTTGTTCTTATTGAAGACTGTTGTTCCCTGGGGCAGTGAGCCTGGTGGGAGGGAGGAGATAGATTACCTACAGATGAAGAAAGAGCTGAAGCTTTCAGCAAACTCCAGGCCTCACACCTTCGCACCCCACCGTTTTCCTTCAATCATTTATGGATGTGAAACAGTACAAAGACAGGGAGTCAGAACTGGTATTAACTCTCTGTGAGGGCAAGTAGCCAACCCTCCCTGTTTTTTTCAGTTTTTATAAGTGAAAGTGAAAAAGTGAAAATTGCCCAGTCATGTCTGACTCTTTGTGACCCCGCGGACTATACAGTCCAAGGAATTCTCCAGGCCAGAATACTGGAATGAGTAGCCTTTCCCTCCTCCAGTGGATCTTCCCAGCCCAGGAATCAAATCGGGGTCTCCAGCATTGCAGGTGGATTCTTTACCAACTGAGCCCAGTTTTTATATTGGGGCATAGTTGATTAACAATGTTGTGTTAGTTTCAGGTGTACAACAAACTGACTCAGTTATCTATGTATCTATTATTTTTCAAATTCCTTTCCCATTTAGGTTATTACAGAATGCTGAGTAGAGTTCTTGTGCTATACAGTAGGTCCTTGTCCTTGTTGGTTATCTGTTTTAAATATAGCAGTGTGTACATGTTAATCCCAAACTCCCAGCCTATCCTCTACCCTCTTCATCCCACCTCCTGGTAACCATAAGTTCATTCTCTAAGTCTGGAGTCTATTTCTGTTTTGTAAAAAAAGTTCATTTGTATCATTTTTTTTTAAGATTCTGCATATAAGTGATACCATATGATATTTGCCTTTTTTGCTGACTTCATTTAATAGGATAATCCTTAGGTCCATCCATGTTGCGACAAATGGCATTATTTCATTCTTTTTAATGGCTGAGTAATAGTCCATTGTATATATATACCACATCTTTATCCATTCATTTGTCAGTGTACGTTTAGGCTGCTTCCCTATCTTGGCTATTGTAAATAGCACTGCGATGAAATTGGGGTGCGTGTATCCTTTTTGAACCATGTTTTTCTCTGGATATATGCCCAGGAGTGGGATTGTGGGCTTATTTGGTAGCTCCACTTTTAGTTTTTAAAGGAACCTCCATATTCTTTTCTACTATGTCTGTGCCAATTCATATTCCCATCAACAGTATAGAGGTGTTCCCTTTTCTCCACACCCTCTCCCGCATTTATTGTTTGTAGATTTTTTTGATGATGGCCATTCTGACTGGTGCAAGGTGATATCTTATTGTAGTTTTGTATTCTAGTATTTCTCTAATAATTAGCCATGTTGAGCATCTTTTCATGTGCCTTTTGGCCATCTGTCCTCCCTGCCTTTTAAGACTTTTCATCTGTTGAATGGACATGATAATGGACCTGCCTCATAGTTTTGTTAAGGGAATGAAATGAAAAAAATAGGGAAAATGCTAAGACTATGGAGAGTATAATTTTGATTATCATGTGTTGGGCTCTGACCGAGGTGCTGGGCTTACAGAGATGAGTAAAACTTGTCCCTTGCCTACAGAGAACTCAAACATAGCTAGAATTAGATTCACACACAAATTGCCATTATGTTAAAATATTAGATACCTCTAGTAGTACAAGGGTTTTCCTGGCTCAGACAGTAAAGAATCTGCCCGCAATATGGGAAACACAGGTTCCACCCCTGGGTTGAGAAGATCCCCTGGAAAAGGGAATGGCTACCCACTCCAGTATTCTTGCCTGGAGAATTCCTTGGACAGAGGAGCCTGGCGGGCTATAGTCCACGGGGTCACAGAGTCAGACACGACTGAGCTCACACACACAATATAACTGGTAAGCAGAACAGAAATACTGATATTGGGTAGTCATTCTCTTTATCTCCTACATAGGAGACTTTCTCTGCAAATTCAGAATCGAATCAGAAATAAATGGATAAAAAAAAAAAAAAGAAAGAAATGGAGTTCATTGATGGACATCATGGTCACGGTGATTGAGCCAGGCTGACCAGATAGGCCCAGTTGCATCATTTGTCTGTACCTGGATGGGCTGGTTGTAGTACTCTTTACCTGTTTGGTGCTCATGTAGTCAACTCTTTCGTCTTTTTTCCTTTGTTTAATAAAATCCTGGCAGACTTCTCCTTTCTGTAAACACACTGTCTAGATCACAGTACCATGGACTATAGTGTAAGCTGCTCAGTCGTGTCCGACTCTTGGTGACCCCATGGACTATACAGTCCATGGAATTCTCCAGGTCAGAATACTTGAGTGGGTAGCCTTTTTCCTTCTCTAGGGAATCTTCCCAACCCAGGGATCGAACCCAGGTCTCCCGCATCGCAGGCAGATTTTTTACCAGCTGAGCCACAAGGGAAGCCAAGCCGTGGACTATATTACGGTTTATTTTAGTTACATTCCATCCCGGAAGACAGGACCGCCTGGCAGGCCCCTTGAGTGAGAGAGTGAGAGGGGTCCAGAGGAAGGGATTTCTCTCTGGCTGCAGTCATACCCTCGGCTCTTTGCAGAGGGATGGGAGATAAGGCCAGGGGGGTTTTCAGTGTCTGGAGAGTGCTGTGTGTCAACTTGATCTTTTTTGTAAATATAATACCAACTGTTTCCATTGTGTTATCTGAGTTTTTCTCCACCAGTGAAAAATTCTCCATCATTTCCCATAATAAATATTGGGGTGTGAGCATTCCATTTTCAGCCCCCTCCAGTGGGTGGTGAATCAGTTGAGACATGTGCATAGGTATCAGCTAGGGTGCTTGATCATGTCTTTGATAGTGAGAGAGCTCAAACAGAGCTGGGGACCATAAATGTGAGAGCTCTTGCAACCTGAACCAAGCTGATTTATCCTGATGATAGATGTGTGTGTTGTTAATCCCGTCCTTACATTTGTGTAGGTGTGACATAGTCTCTCATGGTCTGAGGCACTGTAAATGTATACACCTGTGCCCTTGAGTCATGCACTGTGTTGGAAGCACGGTCTTCACTTTGGATGGCCCCTCCTTCATCACCTGGTCCCCATGGAGACGTGAGCTCTCTCCTGTGGATGCCCGTGGGCTTCTTGTCTCCTGTGTGTGAGGACCGGTGATGCCTTATGCTTTAGGGGCTTCCTGGGTGGTGCTGGTGGTAAAGAATCCACCTGCCAATGCAGGAGACATAAGAGACATGGATTCAATCCCTGGGTCATGAAGATTCCTCTGGAGAAGGAAATGGCAACCGACTCCAGTATTCTTGCCTGGGAAATCCCATGGACTGAGGAGCCTGGTGGGTTATAGTCCAGGAGGTCGCAGAGAGTCAGACCCAACTGTAAGCGACTTAGCATGCATGCACGCATATGTGCTTTTTGGTCTGATGTATTGATACTCGCTTTACCCCTTTCTCTAGAAGATGGGAACCAGAGCGCCTGTCCTTTTTCTACCATGGCATCATGTGGCACAATGCCTGAACTCTGGGACTAGTTATTTAATTCAATACATTAAATGACGACTTTTCATCCACTTTAGAGTTCAAGAGAGAAGAAAATAAGATGGAGAGAAAAGGCCAGCAGCTGAAAATAGAATAAAATGGGAGCAGGGGTTTCCCTGGTGGTCCAGTGGTTAAGACTCCATGTGCTTCC